ACTCCCCCGTGATCCCCCCCCCAATGAGCACATGATCACTCCCCCGTGATCCCCCTCAATGATCACATGATCCCCCCCCAATGATCACATGATCACTCCCCTGTGATCCCCCATCCCAATGATCACATGATCACTCCCCCGTGATCCCCCCTCAATGATCACATGATCACTCCCCCGTGATCCCCCCTCAATGATCACATGATCACTCCCCCGTGATCCCCCCTCAATGATCACATGATCACTCCCCCATGATCCCCCCTCAATGATCACATGATCACTCCCCCGTGATCCCCCCTCAATGATCACATGATCACCCCCCCGTGATCCCCCCTCAATGATCACATGATCACTCCCTCGTGATCCCCGCCTCAATGATCACATGATCACTCCCCCGTGATCCCCCCCCAATGATCACATGATCACTCCCTCGTGATCCCCCCCAATGATCACATGATCACCCCCCCGTGATCCCCCCCCAATGATCACATGATCACTCCCCTGTGATCCCCCCCCCGTGATCCCCCCTCAATGATCACATGATCACTCCCCCGTGATCCCCCCCCAATGATCACATGATCACTCCCCTGTGATCCCCCCCCCCCGTGATCCCCCCCCAATGATCACATGATCACTCCCCCGTGATCCCCCCTCAATGATCACATGATCACTCCCCCGTGATCCCCCCCAATGATCACATGATCAGCCCCCCGTGATCCCCCCTCAATGATCACATGATCACCCCCCCCGTGATCCCCTCCCAATGATCACATGATCACTCCCCCGTGATCCCCTCCCAATGATCACATGATCACTCCCCCGTGATCCCCCCTCATTGATCACATGATCACCCCCCCGTGATCCCCCCTCAATGATCACATGATCACTCCCCCGTGATCCCTCCCCAATGATCACATGATCACTCCCCCGTGATCCCCCCCTCAATGATCACATGATCACTCCCCCGTGATCCCCCCCCAATGATCACATGATCACCCCCTCGTGATCCCCCTCAATGATCACATGATCCCCCCCCCCGTGATCCCCTCCTCAATGATCACATGATCGCTCCCCCGTGATCCCCCCCCAATGATCACATGATCACCCCCCCGTGATCCCCCCCCAATGATCACATGATCGCTCTCCCGTGATCCCCCCCCAATGATCACATGATCCCCCCCCCGTGATCCCCTCCCAATGATCACATGATTCCCCCCCCGTGATCCCCTCCCAATGATCACATGATCACTCCCCTGTGATCCCCCCCTCAATGATCACATGATCACTCCCCCGTGATCCCCCCCCAATGATCACATGATCGCTCCCCCGTGATCCCCTCCCAATGATCACATGATCACTCCCCTGTGATCCCCCCCTCAATGATCACATGATCGCTCCCCCGTGATCCCCTCCCAATGATCACATGATCCCCCCCCGTGATCCCCTCCCAATGATCACATGATCACTCCCCCGTGATCCCCTCCCAATGATCACATGATCACTCCCCCGTGATCCCCTCCCAATGATCACATGATCACTCCCCCGTGATCCCCCCCCAATGATCACATGATCGCTCCCCCGTGATCCCCTCCCAATGATCACATGATCCCCCCCCCGTGATCCCCTCCCAATGATCACATGATCCCCCCCCCGTGATCCCCTCCCAATGATCACATGATCACTCCCCCGTGATCCCCTCCCAATGATCACATGATCGCTCCCCCGTGATCCCCTCCCAATGATCACATGATCACTCCCCCGTGATCCCCTCCCAATGATCACATGATCCCCCCCCCGTGATCCCCTCCCAATGATCACATGATCACTCCCCTGTGATCCCCCCCTCAATGATCACATGATCCCCCCCCCGTGATCCCCTCCCAATGATCACATGATCCCCCCCCCGTGATCCCCCCCCAATGATCACATGATCACTCCCCCGTGATCCCCCCCCAATGATCACATGATCACTCTACCGTGACCCCCCCCCGTGATCCCCCCCCAATGATCACATGATCACTCCCCCGTGATCCCCCCCAATGATCACATGATCACTCCCCCGTGATCCCCCCCCAATGATCACATGATCCCCCCCGTGATCCCCCCCCAATGATCACATGATCACTCCCCCGTGACCCCCCCCCAATGATCACATGATCACTCCCCCGTGATCCCCCCCCAATGATCACATGATCACTCCCCCGTGATCAACCCCCCCCCCCATGATCCCCCCGTGATCCCCCCCAGCCCCCCCCCGTGATCTCCCCAGCCCCCCCCCCCAGCCCCCCCCCCAGCCCCCCCCCCAGCCCCCCCCCCAGCCCCCCCCCAGCCCCCCCCCCAGCCCCCCCCTCACCTGCGTGGCACCACCTTGGCCGCCACGAGGCGTGCTCCCTCCCAGCCCTCGGCCGCCCCGCTGTGGTAGGAGAGCGTCACGTCCACGTGGTTGAAGAGGTAGAACGAGTCGGGCTCCTTGAACTCCGTCTGCAGTAACACAGAGGTAGTAACACAGTAGTAGTAACTCAGTGGTAGTAACACAGAGGTAGTAACGCTGTGGTAGGAGAGCGTCACGTCCACGTGGTTGAAGAGGTAGAACGAGTCGGGCTCCTTGAACTCCGTCTGCAGTAACACAGACGTAGTAACACAGAGGTAGTAGTAGTAGCACAGAGGTAGTAGTAGTAGTAACACAGTAGTAGTAGCACAGAGGTAGTAGTAGTAACACAGTGGTAGTTGTAGTAACACAGTGGTAGTAGTAGTAGTAGTAACACAGTAGTAGTAACACAGAGGTAGTAGTAGTAACACAGTGGTAGTAGTAGTAACACAGAGGTAGTAGTAGTAACACAGTGGTAGTAGTAGTAACACAGTGGTAGTAGTAGTAACACAGTGGTAGTAGTAGTAACACAGTGGTAGTAGTAGTAACACAGTGGTAGTAGTAGTAACACAGAGGTAGTAGTAGTAACACAGAGGTAGTAGTAGTAACACAGAGGTAGTAGTAGTAACACAGTGGTAGTAGTAGTAACACAGAGGTAGTAGTAGTAACACAGAGGTAGTAGTAGTAACACAGTGGTAGTAGTAGTAACACAGTGGTAGTAGTAGTAACACAGTGGTAGTAGTAGGAACACAGTGGTAGTAGTAGTAACACAGTGGTAGTAGTAGTAACACAGAGGTAGTAGTAGTAACACAGAGGTAGTAGTAGTAACACAGTGGTAGTAGTAGTAACACAGTGGTAGTAGTAGTAACACAGAGGTAGTAGTAGTAACACAGTGGTAGTAGTAGTAACACAGTGGTAGTAGTAGTAACACAGAGGTAGTAGTAGTAACACAGAGGTAGTAGTAGTAACACAGTGGTAGTAGTAGTAACACAGTGGTAGTAGTAGTAACACAGAGGTAGTAGTAGTAACACAGTGGTAGTAGTAGTAACACAGTGGTAGTAGTAGTAACACAGAGGTAGTAGTAGTAACACAGTGGTAGTAGTAGTAACACAGTGGTAGTAGTAGTAACACAGAGGTAGTAGTAGTAACACAGAGGTAGTAGTAGTAGTAACACAGAGGTAGTAGTAGTAACACAGTGGTAGTAGTAGTAACACAGAGGTAGTAGTAGTAACACAGTGGTAGTAGTAGTAACACAGATGGTAGTAGTAGTAACACAGTGGTAGTAGTAGTAACACAGTGGTAGTAGTAGTAACACAGTGGTAGTAGTAGTAACACAGTGGTAGTAGTAGTAACACAGTGGTAGTAGTAGTAGTAGTAACACAGTAGTAGTAACACAGAGGTAGTAGTAGTAGTAACACAGTGGTAGTAGTAGTAGTAGTAACACAGTAGTAGTAACACAGAGGTAGTAGTAGTAGTAACACAGAGGTAGTAGTAGTAGTAACACAGTGGTAGTAGTAGTAACACAGTAGTAGTAGTAGTAACACAGAGGTAGTAGTAGTAACACAGAGGTAGTAGTAGTAACACAGAGGTAGTAGTAGTAACACAGTGGTAGTAGTAGTAACACAGTGGTAGTAGTAGTAACACAGAGGTAGTAGTAGTAGTAACACAGTAGTAGTAGTAGTAACACAGAGGTAGTAGTAGTAACACAGAGGTAGTAGTAGTAACACAGTGGTAGTAGTAGTAACACAGAGGTAGTAGTAGTAACACAGTGGTAGTAGTAGTAACACAGTGGTAGTAGTAGTAACACAGTGGTAGTAGTAGTAACACAGAGGTAGTAGTAGTAGTAACACAGGGGTAGTAGTAGTAACACAGTGGTAGTAGTAGTAACACAGAGGTAGTAGTAGTAACACAGAGGTAGTAGTAGTAACACAGTGGTAGTTGTAGTAACACAGTGGTAGTAGTAGTAACACAGTAGTAGTAACACAGTGGTAGTAGTAGTAACACAGTGGTAGTAGTAGTAACACAGAGGTAGTAGTAGTAGTAACACAGTGGTAGTAGTAGTAACACAGTGGTAGTAGTAGTAACACAGAGGTAGTAGTAGTAACACAGTGGTAGTAGTAGTAACACAGAGGTAGTAGTAGTAACACAGTGGTAGTAGTAGTAACACAGAGGTAGTAGTAGTAACACAGTGGTAGTAGTAGTAACACAGTGGTAGTAGTAGTAACACAGAGGTAGTAGTAGTAACACAGAGGTAGTAGTAGTAACACAGTGGTAGTAGTAGTAACACAGTGGTAGTAGTAGTAACACAGAGGTAGTAGTAGTAACACAGTGGTAGTAGTAGTAACACAGTGTTAGTAGTAGTAACACAGAGGTAGTAGTAGTAGTAGTAACACAGAGGTAGTAGTAGTAACACCAGTGGTAGTAGTAGTAACACAGAGGTAGTAGTAGTAACACCGTGGTAGTAGTAGTAACACAGAGGTAGTAGTAGTAACACAGTGGTAGTAGTAGTAACACAGTGGTAGTAGTAGTAACACAGTGGTAGTAGTAGTAACACAGTGGTAGTAGTAGTAACACAGTAGTAGTAACACAGAGGTTAGTAGTAGTAGTAACACAGTGGTAGTAGTAGTAGTAGTAACACAGTAGTAGTAACACCGAGGTAGTAGTAGTAGTAACCCAGAGGTAGTAGTAGTAGTAACACAGTGGTAGTAGTAGTAACACAGTCGTAGTAGTAGTAACACAGAGGTAGTAGTAGTAAACAGAGGTAGTAGTAGTAACACAGAGGTAGTAGTAGTAACACAGTGGTAGTAGTAGTAACACAGTGGTAGTAGTAGTAACACAGAGGTAGTAGTAGTAACACAGTGGTAGTAGTAGTAACACAGATGGTAGTAGTAGTAACACAGTGGTAGTATAGTAACACAGTGGTAGTAGTAGTAACACAGATGGTAGTAGTAGTAACACAGAGGTAGTAGTAGTAACACAGGGTAGTAGTAGTAACACAGGTGGTAGTAGTAGTAACACAGAGGTAGTAGTAGTAACACAGAGGTAGTAGTAGTAACACCAGTGGTATTTGTAGTAACACAGTGGTAGTAGTAGTAACACAGTATAGTAACACAGTGGTAGTAGTAGTAACACAGTGGTAGTAGTAGTAACACAGAGGTAGTAGTAGTAGTAACACAGTGGTAGTAGTAGTAACACAGTGGTAGTAGTAGTAACACAGAGGTAGTAGTAGTAACACAGTGGTAGTAGTAGTAACACAGAGGTAGTAGTAGTAACACAGTGGTAGTAGTAGTAACACAGAGGTAGTAGTAGTAACACAGTGGTAGTAGTAGTAACACAGAGGTAGTAGTAGTAACACAGAGGTAGTAGTAGTAACTCAGTGGTAGTAGTAGTAACACAGAGGTAGTAGTAGTAACACAGTGGTAGTAGTAGTAACACAGAGGTAGTAGTAGTAACACAGAGGTAGTAGTAGTAACACAGTGGTAGTAGTAGTAACACAGAGGTAGTAGTAGTAACACAGAGGTAGTAGTAGTAACTCAGTGGTAGTAACACAGAGGTAGTAGTAGTAACACAGAGGTAGTAGTAGTAACACAGAGGTAGTAGTAGTAACACAGAGGTAGTAGTAGTAACACAGAGGTAGTAGTAGTAACACAGAGGTAGTAGTAGTAACACAGAGGTAGTAGTAGTAACTCAGTGGTAGTAACACAGTGGTAGTAGTAGTAACACAGTGGTAGTAGTAGTAACACAGTGGTAGTAGTAGTAACACAGTAGTAGTAGTAGTAACACAGGTAGTAACACAGTGGTAGTAGTAGTAACCAGAGGTAGTAGTAGTAACACAGTGGTAGTAGTAGTAACACAGAGTAGTAGTAACACAGTGGTAGTAGTAGTAACACAGTAGTAGTAGTAGTAACACAGAGGTAGTAGTAGTAACACAGAGGTAGTAGTAGTAGTAACACAGAGGTAGTAGTAGTAACACAGTGGTAGTAGTAGTAACACAGAGGTAGTAGTAGTAACACAGAGGTAGTAGTAGTAACACAGTGGTAGTAGTAGTAACACAGAGGTAGTAGTAGTAACACAGAGGTAGTAGTAGTAACACAGAGGTAGTAGTAGTAACACAGTGGTAGTAGTAGTAACTCAGTGGTAGTAACACAGAGGTAGTAGTAGTAACACAGTGGTAGTAACACAGAGGTAGTAGTAGTAACACAGTGGTAGTAGTAGTAACACAGAGGTAGTAGTAGTAACACAGTGGTAGTAGTAGTAACACAGTGGTAGTAGTAGTAACACAGAGGTAGTAGTAGTAACACAGTAGTAGTAGTAACACGGAGGTAGTAGTAGTAACACAGTAGTAGTAGTAGTAATAACACAGAGGTAGTAGTAGTAACACAGGTAGTAACACAGTGGTAGTAGTAGTAACCAGAGGTAGTAGTAGTAACACAGTGGTAGTAGTAGTAACACAGAGGGAGTAGTAGTAACACAGTGGTAGTAGTAGTAACACAGTAGTAGTAGTAGTAACACAGAGGTAGTAGTAGTAACACAGAGGTAGTAGTAGTAACACAGAGGTAGTAACACAGAGGTAGTAGTAGTAACACAGTAGTAGTAACACAGTAGTGGTAGTTAGTAGTGGTAGTTAGTAGTGGTAGTTAGTAGTGGTGTAACCCTCACGCTGATGATGCAGGCGTCCTTGTGATTGCTAGAGTAGTAGTTACAGTAGTTATAGTGGTAGTTAGTAGTGGTAGTTAGTAGTGGTAGTTAGTGCTAGTTAGTAGTGGTAGTAGTAGCGGTAGTTAGTAGCGGTAGTTAGTAGTTGTAGTTAGTAGTGGTAGTTAGTAGTAGTAGTTAGTAGTGGTAGTTAGTAGTGGTAGTTAGTAGTGGTAGTTAGTAGTGGTGTAACCCTCACGCTGATGATGCAGGCGTCCTTGTGATTGCTAGAGTAGTAGTTACAGTAGTCATAGTGGTAGTAGTGGTAGTTAGTAGTGGTAGTTAGTAGTGGTAGTTAGTAGTGGTAGTTAGTAGTGGTAGTTAGTAGTGGTAGTTAGTAGTGGTAGTTAGTAGTGGTAGTTAGTAGTGGTGTAACCCTCACGCTGATGATGCAGGCGTCCTTGTGATTGCTAGAGTAGTAGTTACAGTAGTTATAGTGGTAGTTAGTAGTGGTAGTTAGTAGTGGTAGTTAGTAGTGGTAGTTAGTAGTGGTAGTTAGTAGTGGTGTAACCCTCACGCTGATGATGCAGGCGTCCTTGTGATTGCTAGAGTAGTAGTTACAGTAGTTATAGTGGTAGTTAGTAGTGGTAGTTAGTAGTGGTAGTTATTAGTGGTAGTTAGTAGCGGTAGTGGTGTACTCCTCACGCTGATGATGCAGGCGTCCTTGGGCTGCCCGGTGGCAGTGACGTAGCAGCCCACGGGGAAGCCGGGGTTACAGAAGAGTTTCCCCTCGTCCACGTGGTAGCACCATGTCACCGGCATGTTGTCAACAATCCTACACACCACACAGTCACACACACACAGTCACACACACACAGACACACACACACACCGACGGGGAAGCCGGGGTTACAGAAGAGCTTCCCCTCGTCCACGTGGTAGCACCACGTCACCGGCATGTTGTCTACAATCCTACACACCACACACACACACAGTCACACACACACACAGTCACACACACACACACACAGATACACAGACACACAGTCACACAGACACACACAGTCACACACACACGCCGCACACACACACAGTCACACACACACAGACACACACAGTCACAGTCACACACAGACACAGTCACACACATACACCGCGCACACACACACACACACAGTCACACAGTCACACACACACCAGAATCACACACACACACAAGAATCACACACACAAGAATCACACACACACACACCACGCCAGCGGCATGTTGTCCACGACCTTACAGGCAGCACGCACACACAGACACACACACAGTCACACGCACACACAGTTTCACACACACAGTCACACGCACACACAGTCACACACACAGTCACACGCACACACAGTCACACACACACAGACACACGCACACACAGTCACACGTACACACAGTCACACGCACACACAGTCACACGTACACACAGTCACACGTACACTCAGTCACACGTACACACAGTCACACGTACACACAGTCACACGTACACACAGTCACGCACACACAGTCACGCACACACACAGTCACGCACACACACAGTCACGCACACACACAGTCTCACACACACACAGTCACACACACACACAGTCACGCACACACAGTCACACACACACACAGTCACACACACACACAGTCACGCACACACACACAGTCACGCACACACACACAGTCACACACACACACAGTCACACACACACACAGTCACACACACAGTCACACACACACACAGTCACACACACACACAGTCACACACACACACAGTCACACACATACACAGTCACGCACACACACAGTCACGCACACATACAGTCACGCACACACACAGTCACGCACACACACAGTCACGCACACACACAGTCACGCACACACACAGTCACACACACACACAGTCACACACACACACAGTCACACACACACACAGTCACACACACACACAGTCACACACACACACAGTCACGCACACACAGGCAACACACACACACAGTCACACACACACAGTCACACACACACACAGTCACGCACACACAGGCAACACACACACACAGTCACACACACACACAGTCACACACACACACACAGTCACACACACACACAGTCACACACACACACAGTCACACACACACAGTCACAACACACACACAGTCACACACACACACAGTCACACACACACAGTCACACACAAGTCACACACACAGTCACACACACACACACAGTCACACACACAATCACACACACAGTCACACACACACACAGTCACACACACAGTCACACACACACACAGTCACACACACACACAGTCACGCACACACACACAGTCACACACACACACAGTCACACACACACACAGTCACACACACAGTCACACACACACACAGTCACACACACACAGTCACACACACACACAGTCACACACACACACAGTCACACACACAGGCAACACAAGAGACACCACATCACGGACAGTCTACTATCGCACACACACACAGGCACACTGATGAGGATGGTGATGGTGGTGATGGTGATGCTGATGGTGGTGGTGATGCTGATGGTGGTGGCGGTGATGGAGGAGATACCAGTGGTGCTGGTAGTTGAAGTGGTTGTAGTGATGATGGTGATGATGATGGTAATAATGATGGTGATGATAATGATGGTGATGATGATGATGGCGATGATGATGATGATGGTGATGATGATGGTGATGATGATGGTGATGATGGTGATGATGGTGATGATGGTGATGATGGAGATACCAGTGGTGCTGGTAGTTGAAGTGGTTGTAGTGATGATGATGGTGATGATGATGGCGATGATGATGACGATGGTGATGACGATGGTGATGATGATGGTGATGATGGAGATACCAGTGGTGCTGGTAGTTGAAGTGGTTGTAGTGATGATGATGGTGATGATGATGGCGATGATGATGACGATGGTGATGACGATGGTGATGATGATGGTGACGATGGTGATGATGGAGGGGATACCAGTGGTGCTGGTAGTTGAAGTGCATGGCCTTCTTGAGGAAGTCCAGGCTGGCCTGGTCATCGGCGGAGCCCGGCTCGTACACCTTGGGCTCGCACAGGACGGCACACGCCGTCTCCTCCTTGAACGTCACCTGCACACAGGCAAAGGTCACCCATGTAGCCTCTAGCAGACTGTAGGGGCAAGTGCTGTTAGTAGCGAGTAGCAGCAGCACCTATACACAGACAAAGATCCCCCGTGTAGCCTCTAACAGGCTGTAGGGGCAAGTGCTGTTAGTAGCGAGTAGCAGCAGCACCTATACACAGACAAAGATCCCCCGTGTAGCCTCTAACAGGCTGTAGGGGCAAGTACTGTTAGTAGCGAGTAGCAGCAACACCTATACACAGACAAAGATCCCCTGTGTAGCCTCTAACAGGCTGTAGGGGCAAGTGCTGTTAGTAGCGAGAAGCAGCAGCGTCTATGATGAGTCACGCACACAGTCTCACTCACACAGACACACAACAACAACAACAACCGCCATTCGCCACTAAGTGACGGTGACGTCACCACGACGCTTGTGCCAGGCCAAGTGCACCTTGAGGCCACGTGAAGTGTTGACAGACACACACGCAAACACAGTGACACACTCACACAGACACACACACAGACACACACACAGAGACAGACACACACACACAGAGATACACACAGTGACACAGTGAGACACACTCACACACCACACACAGACTCACACACAGTGACACACACACAGACACACACAGTGACACACACACACAGTGACACAGACACACACAGTGACACACAGTGACACACACACACAGTGACACACACACACAGTGACACAAACACAGTGACACACACAGTGACACAGTGAGACACACTCACACACCACACACAGACTCACACACAGTGACACACACACAGTGACACAGTGACACACTCACACACACCACACAGACTCAGGAATCGAACCCGGGCCCCCTCTGCGGGGCTGGTGTGCGAGCCCCCCCCACCCCCCACCCCGGCGAGCCATGAGACCACGTGGCCACCACGCACCTTGTACGGCGAGGGCTCTATCCTCTCACCGAACAGCACCTGGCCCAGGTTCTCCGTGGGTCTCTGTTTGCTTTCGGGCGCCTTGCAGAAGTCGAACCTAGACCACACGCCGACGGGAGAGAGGCCGGGGGGGGGGGGAGTCAGTGTTACGAGACAAAGATCCCCCGTGTAGCCTCTCACGGGATGGCGGGGCAAGTGCTGTTGGTAGTTGCGAGTAGCAGCACTTGCCCCAACAGTCTGTTAAGGCTCTACAGGGGGTCTTTGTCTTTGTGTGTGGGTACATGTTTGTGAGTGCGTGTGAGTGTGTGTGAGTGCGTGAGTACGTGTGAGTGCGTGCGTGTGAGTACGAGTGAGTGCGTGCGTGTGAGTACGAGTGAGTGCGTGCGTGTGAGTACGTGAGTGAGTACGCGAGTGAGTGTGAATGCGTGTGAGAGTGCGTGTGAGAGTACGTGTGAGAGTGCGTGAGTGAGTACGTGTGAGATTACGTGAGTGAGTACGTGAGTGAGTGTGAGTACGAGTGAGTGAGTACGTGAGTGAGTGTGAGTACGTGAGCGAGTACTCACGCGTTGTACTCGTAGGGCAGCACAGACTCCACCGAGTCCAGGCGGTTCATGTAGAGCTCGATGGTGGACTGGGACACGCACAGAGAGGGGCGACACACTTACAGCAGAGGTCACGCACGTGGTGGTGGTGGTGATGGTGGTAGTGGTGATGGTGGTGCTGGTGGTGGGGATGGTGGTGGGGATGGCGATGGTGGTGGTGATGGTGGAGGTGATGGTGGTGATGGTGGGGATGGTGATGGTGGTGGTCGTGGTGATGATGGTGGTGATGGTGGGGATGGTGATGGTGGTGGTGATGATGGTGGTGGTGATGGTGGGGATGGTGATGGTGGTGGTGGTGATGGTGGTGATGGTGGTGGTGGTGATGGAGGTGATGGTGGTGGTGATGGTGGTGATGGCGGTGTTGGAGGTGATGGTGGTGGTGGAGATGATGGTGGTGATGATGGTGGTGATGATGGCAGTGGTGATGGCGGTGGTGATGCCGATGGTGGAGGTGATGGTGGTGGTGGAGGTGATGGTGGTGGTGGAGATGATGGTGGTGGAGATGATGGTGGTGGAGATGATGGTGGTGGAGATGATGGTGGTGGTTATGAAAATATTTTATTGTATACTCTTTGGTTCTTTCGGTAAAGTCACGTAGGTATAAAATAAAATAAATCACGACATTTCGGGCGCAACACAAGTGTCCATCATCAGGTGTATTTCACCTTCATCTAACCAGGTTAACACAAAAAACCCCTTGAGGTTAAAACCCTCTTTTGCGAGGGCGACGATGACGATGATGGTGGTGTTAAAATGATGATGGTGAAAGAGATGATGGTGAGAGAGATGATATTGATGTTGTGATAGAAATGATGATGATGATGATGGTGGTGGTGAAAACAATGATGATGGTGATCGAGATGATGATGATGATGATGGTGATTAAAGAGATGATGATACGTAGGCTTGGGTGACCAGTATCATTCATGATAAAGGTTTGTGGGTTAGATCGCGTTCAGTATAAATGTGTCGCAACCCTCCACCACCCGACACGGCCAATCATTCAACAAAGTGTCACGTTGACAGAAGACAGAATAGTTCACAACTTTAGCCCACCGGTGTGTGTTCAAGCTCCACCACACACGAGCTCCACCACACACGAGCTCCACCACGCGAGCTCCACCAGTGGAGCTCCACCAGTGAAGCTCCACCAAACGAGCTCCACCAGTGGAGCTCCACCAGTAGAGCTCCACCACACACGAGCTCCACCAGTGAAGCTCCACCAGTGGAGCTCCACCACACACGAGCTCCACCGGCGGAGCTCCACCGGCGGAGCTCCACCACGCGAGCTCCACCGGTGGAGCTTCACAGCGGAGCTCCACCACACGACCTCCACCACACGAGCTCCACCAGTGAAGCTCCACCACAGGACCTCCACCACACGAGCTCCACCAGTGAAGCTCCACCACACGACCTCCACCACACGAGCTCCACCAGTGAAGCTCCACCACACGACCTCCACCACACGAGCTCCACCAGTGAAGCTCCACCACACGACCTCCACCACACGACCTCCACCACACGAGCTCCACCAGTGAAGCTGCCCAAGTGGAGCTCCACCAGTGGAACTCCACCACACACAACTCCGCACTGTGTATTTGGCCTACTCTGCCGCATTAAAGACTCCGAAAAGGGAAAAAAAATACGACGAGAGAGCGCGGCGTTATAGCGTCAAACAATAACGACGACGACAACAACAATATCAACAACAACAACAATAACAACAACAACAACAGCGCGTTCAAACTTCGCGACGGACGAAGGGAAACGAGAAGAAGAAGAAGAAGAAAAAGACCGAAGGGAGTTTAGGCCGAAGCCTCGGCGTGGGCCTGACGAGCCTACCTGACAGTTGAGGTGCTCCTCGGCCTTCTCGCAGAAGCTGACGGGGGCGAGACCCGGGAGGTAGAACGCCTGGCCCAGCGCTAGCACGCACAGCAGCGTCGTCGTCGCTGTAGCAGCAGCAGCGGCCATCGTACGAGGGTGTTGTTGTTTGTTTGTGTGAAGCGGCCGCGTCCTCTCTCAATGTTTCTATTTGCTGTGAAGTTTGTGGAGGTGGTGGAGGAGGGAGGGAGGGGGAAGTGATCTCGACTCCCCCAACACGCCGGTGACGTCGTCTCGGTGACGTCACCACGCAGACTTCCCACTCTGTTTGGGTTGCGTGGTGACGTCACCGCGCAGATTTGGGTTGGGATCGCAGCGGCTGGGTTTGCGCGGTGACGTCACCACGCAGACTTCCCACTCTGTTTGGGTTGCGTGGTGACGTCACCGCGCAGATTTGGGTTGGGATCGCAGCGGCTGGGTTTGCGCGGTGACGTCACCACGCAGACTTCCCACTCTGTTTGGGTTGCGTGGTGACGTCACCGCGCAGATTTGGGTTGGGATCGCAGCGGCTGGGTTTGCGCGGTGACGTCACCACGCAGACTTCCCACTCTGTTTGGGTTGCGTGGTGACGTCACCGCGCAGATTTGGGTTGGGATCGCAGCAGCTGGCTTTGCGTGGTGACGTCACTGCGCAGATTTGGGTTTGGTTCGCAGCAGCTGGCTTTGCGTGGTGACGTCACCACGCAGACTTCCTTTTGAGTTCGCGGCAGCTGAGTTGCGTGATGACGTCACGACGTAGATTCCAGTTGTACTCGTTGCAGCTGAGTTGCGTGATGACGTCATCACGCAGACTCCCTTCTGAGTTCGCGACAGCTGAGTTGCGTGATGACGTCACCACGCAGACTCCCTTCTGAGTTCGCTCCAGCTGAGATGCGTGATGACGTCATGACGTAAATTCCGGTTGGACTCGCAACAGCTGAGTTGCGTGATGACGTCACGACGTAAATTCCGGTTGGACTCGCTGCAGCTGAGTTGCGTGATGACGTCACCACGCAGACTCCCTTCGAAGTTCGCTGCAGTTGAGTTGCGTGATGACGTCACGACGTAGATTCCGGTTGGACTCGCTGCACCTGAGTTGCGTGATGACGTCATCACGCAGATTGCGGTTGGACTCGTGATGACGTCACCACGCAGACTCCCTTCTGAGTTCGCTGCTGCTGAGTTGCGTGATGACGTCACGACGTAAATTCCGGTTGGACTCGCTGCAGCTGAGTTGCGTGATGACGTCACGACGTAGAGTCAGTCTCAAAGTCAATGCCTTTAACATCATCATCATCATGTTTCGATGTAAAGCTTTCGTGACTGCAGGGATTCATCTTCTTGGTTCTTTCTTTTGTCAAGGCGCTCTTCTCCCCCCTCCAACCCAGCAGCTTAAATATACGCTCCAAGCTTGGTGGTGTTTCATTCTTCACCTGAGGACGGCTGCTTGCGTTGTAGCCGAAACGTCGTGAGAATTGTATTTATGATGTTTTATTTTTATTATTTCCCTTCTACGTGACTTTACCGAAAGAACCAAGAAGATCATCATCATGTGTTCGCCACCAGTGTTGTGTGCGCGCGGTTAACGCAGACCCTTGATGACGCCTTATAATCGGTGTCTATTGTGGTGTTTGAACATCTCCAAGGCCGTAGCCAACATGGGGGGGGGGGGGGGGAAATCTTCCAGGGCGTCTGGGGGGCCCAACCCCCCAAAAAACCCAGAAAAAAAATCAAAATTTTAAACTCATTTCCTGCCATTTCCTGCGTAAAAATATTTATTAAAAATTCACCAACACACGGGATGAACTTTTTATTTTATTTTGTACAATAATGGGCCCAACCCCCCAAAAACCCCAGAAAAAAATCAAACTTTTAAACTCATTTCCTGCCATTTGCTGCGTAAAAATATTTTTAAAAATTCACCAACACATGGGATGGACTTTTTATTTTATTTTGTACAATAATGTCTAAGAGTGTATTGTATAACATTGCTCTGTTTTGATTTTTTTTTTACCATTCCTTGTTTCATTGTATGTAATGGCAGAGATTCGGGATTAATAAAGTACAACCACAATCATATAAAGATACATCTATGCGTTTATTTATATGAAGACAAGTCCAGATATTGTGGCCAAGGTTTAGCAAATTGTTTTTATTTACATAGCATAGCAATTATTAGTACATTTTTATATGTTTTATAGCAATATATTGGTGGGGGGGGGGACATTTTGAGCATATTGAATCTATTACTGGTAGGAACCTCCTGGTTCCACCAGCCCACAGGGGATTATTGTGTCCGTCCGTCGTGCATCCAAAAATGGGAGGGGTGGGGCTGGGTGGAGAGGGGAGGGTGGGGAGGGGCTGGGTGGGGAGGGTGGGGCTGGGTGGGGATGGGCTGGGTGGGGAGGGTGGGGAGGGGCTGGGTGGGGAGGGTGGGGCTGGGTGGGGAGGGGAGGGTGGGGAGGGGCTGGGAGGGGAGGGCGGGGAGGGGCTGGGTGGGGAGGGGGAGGGGCTGGGTGGGGAGGGTGGGGCTGGGTGGGGGGTGGGAGGGGTGGGGCTGGGTGGGGAGGGGCTGGTCACCCCGTGGTGCCCTTATAAAACTCAACGTTTCACCTACTCACGCCGGCTTGTGCCCGCCCTCACAGTCGGGCATATTTGCGGAATACACCACGCCGCCGTTGACCCTGCAGGCCATTGACCTTGCAACCCGACGTTCCTACCAGCTCCCTCCGCAGGAATGTGTTATAATGACGGCCTTGTCTTAAACACAACTGCTGTTTAATTGCCAGAGAAAGGATACGAAGCTATTCTTATATTCTAATACAGCCCCAGCCGGTTAAATATCCTATAAAATCACTTAGACTGCGACACGAGGGAATCAGGTGAGCTATGAAGCTCATTGTCACAGATTGTCCAGGTACGGGGTACGGGGTCACAACAACAACAACAAACACTGACAGACACACACCATCATATTGGCAAGTACAGCATAAGTAAACAAATCACCCAGACATACACACACAACAATACCGGACAAATCCCACTAGTAGAGACGCACAGAGACCCACAAAGACCCACAGAGACCCACAGAAACTCACAGAGACTCACAGAGACCCACAGAGACCCACAGAGACCCATAGAGACTCACAGAGACTCACAGAGACCCATAGAGACTCATAAAGTCCCACAGAGACCCACAGAAACTCAAAGAAACTCACAGAGACCTACGTAGACTCACAAAGACTCACAGAGACCCACAGAGACTCACAGAGACCCACAGAGATCCATAGAGACTCACAGAGACTCACAGAGACCCACATAGACTCATAGAGTCCCACAGAGACCCATAGAGATTCACGCTCATAGAGACGCATTAAAGCCCACAGAGACCCATAGAGACCCCCAGAGGCCCCCAGAGATCCCCAGAGACCCATAGAGACTCACAAAGACTCGGTTCACCTGGGTCTAGAGAGACTCGTGGTCTAGAGAGACTCGTGGTGTAGAGAGACTCGTGGTGTAGAGAGACTCGGGGTAGCCTGGGATTGGGGTTGGTGGCACACGCGCTGGATCAGACGAGGCCTGCGTGCGCTAGCAGCAGGCCGCACTCCTCCTCGCCGCCCCGCGCCAGCGCCCTCAGGATGAGCTTGTTCACCGCGGCGGCGCCAGCCCCCGTGACCCCCGTGACCCCCGTGACCCCCGTGACCCCCGTGCCGGTGGCGGTGACGGTGCCGGTGACGGTGGCGGCCGCAGCAGCGACGGTGGCCGCCCTCTCCTCTTCGCTCAGGAAGCCGCCCTCGGACAGAGCCTGGGCCACCTGCGGTACCTGTGGGGCACCACCAACGGCATCAACACCACCAGCATCAACCACCACCACCACCAGCATTAACCACCAGCACCACAATCAACCACCACCACCAACAGCATCAACCACCACCACCATCAACCACCGCCACCATCTCCGCCACTACCACCACCGCCACCACCATCACGGCCACCACCACCACCATCACCCACGCCACCAGCACCAAAGACAAGATCCCCCATAAAGCCTTCACAGATTATTATTTGGTTCTTTCGGTTAAGTCACGTCTAGACGTGACTTAACCGAAAGAACCAAATAATAATTCCTGCAGTTACGAAAGTTCTAAAATTAAGACCTTCACAGATTGTTGGGGCAAGTGCAGTTAGCCAGCACCACGCCCGACCGCCTTTGTCTCCCTAGTGGCAATGTTTTTATACATCGCACCAGGCACTCATTTGAGGCCGAGTCGACCTAAGGGAGGCCCAGGGCCGGTTCAGATAATCGTCACCGGCGGTGTTGGTGGCCGTGAGCGGGAATCAAACTTGAGTCACCGGGTTCGTAGCGCAGCGTAGCGCTAACCGCTGCACCACCGCTCCCCACCACCACCGCCATCACCACCACCACCCAACAAAAACCGCCATTCGCCTCTAAGTGTCAGTGATGTCACTATGGGGCCTGTGCCAGGCTAGGTGCACGTTGTGGCCACGTGAAGTGTCAATCTCTCGATGGCAGGAGGTCACGGGGCAGACCCAGCAGGTGCCACGGGTCGACCGACTGAGATGACTGAGATGAGTGGCTGATGCACCACCTGTGCCCCCTGCTGTGCCAACTTGCTGTGCTTTAACCACCCGGCGCTCCGCTCGTTGTTGTGAGCGTCGCTCCTCCGCCCTCCGTTGTTGTTGGAGGGCGATTGCCTCCAACTGCCCAGTAGCGTCCTTCACGAGCCTCCTCCACTGAGGCCGATCTTGACACCGCTGGTACCAGTCATCGGCAAGTCCACTCAGCTCCACGTCCTGCTGTACCACATCACTCCATCTCTTCTCTAGCCCGTGCCACGCCCGTGCAGTCATCGTCATCACGTGGACAAGTATCAGCAGCAGCCAAACGACTCTAAATTGCGTGACGCTGACTCTCAATGTGGAGGGAATGAACAGGAGGACCCGGAGAAAAATCCCCAAAAATTATGGGGAGAGAGAGAGAGAGATGCAGACTCCAAATATACAGCAGCAGCAGCAGGCATCGTCAGGGTCGGGATCGAACTCACGACCTCCTGCGTACCAGGCGAGGTAGTCAACATCTCATAGCCACCGTGATGATGATGATGAGAGAGACACGCAGATTCCAAATATACAGCAGCAGCAGCAGGCATCGTCAGGGTCGGGATCGAGCCCACGACCTCCTGCGTACCAGGCGAGGTAGTCAACATCTCATCAGGGTCGGGATGGAACCCACGACCTCCTGCGTACCAGGCGAGGTAGTTAACATCTCATCAGGGTCGGGATCGAACCCACGACCTCCTGCGTACCAGGCGAGGTAGTCAACATCTCATCAGGGTCGGGATCGAACCCACGACCTCCTGCGTACCAGGCGAGGTAGTCAACATCTCATCAGGGTCGGGATCGAACCCACGACCTCCTGCGTACCAGGCGAGGTAGTCAACATCTCATCAGGGTCGGGATGGAACCCACGACCTCCTGCGTACCAGGCGAGGTAGTCAACATCTCATCAGGGTCGGGATGGAACCCACGACCTCCTGCGTGCCAGGCGAGGTAGTCAACATCTCTCCAACTACAGCAGGCATCGTCAGGGTCGGGATGGAACCCACGACCTCCTGCGTGCCAGGCGAGGTAGTCAACATCTCGGTGGTGGCGGCCCGGTTACCTTGCCGCGAAGGTTGAGAGAGACGGTGGCGAAGTTCTCCCTGAGGCGCGTGGAGAGAGTCTTCTTCTGGGCAGGGGTCTCTGTCGGACATCATCGTCGTCATCATCATCGATGAGGATGACGTCATCGTTAACATCGTCGTTGACATCATCAATGATGACATCATCATCGACATCATCAATGATGACATCATCGACATCATCACAAACGATGACATCGTCGACATCATCAACATCGACATCGTCATCAACATCATTATCAACGATGACATCATCATCGACATCGTCAACATCAACATCGTCATCAACATCATTATCAACGATGACATCATCAACATCGACATCGTCAACATCGACATCATCATCATCCACGATGACATCATCAACATCGACATCATCATCATCATCAACGATGACATCATCAACATCGACATCGTCAACATCAACATCGTCAACATCGACATCATCATCATCAACGATGACATCATCAACATCGACATCATCATCATCAACGATGAAATCATCGGTTTTTTACCCTTCTATCTGGCAACAAAACTGACACCTTTTTACGAGGAGTCATGTTTGCATAGACCGCAATACCTGCAGTCATAATGCATTATGACTGCAGGTATTGCGGTCTATGCAAACATGACTCCTTGTAAAAAGGTGTCAGTTTTGTTGCCAGATAGAAGGGTAAAAAACCAATTATCATATTTTTACTGGCAAATGAGGTTCCCATGATGAAATCATCAACGACATCGTCAACATCATCAACATTGATGACATCAACGACATCGTCAACATCATCATCGATGACATCAACATCATCAACACCATCATCAATGATGACATCATCAACGATGACATCATCATCGATATCGTCAATACCAACACCATCATTAACGATGACATCATCAATGACATCGTCAACATCAGCGATGACATCATCATCGACATCGTCAACATCATCATCGATGACATCATCATCGACATCGTCAACATCATCATCGATGACATCACCACCAACATCAACACCATCATCAACGATGACATCATCAATGACATTGTCAACATCGTCAACATCAGCGATGAAATCATCGTCAACATCATCATCATCAATGACATCATCGTCAACATCATCATCATCAATGACATCATCATCAACATCATCATCAACTTCGGCGTCGTCATCACCGCGTGCAACGTTAGTGGCACGGCACGGCACAGTTTTGTGCAGTGGAAAAAAAACCCGAAAACAACCGTGCCAGGCCTAGCCCTGGCCTGACTCGGATGTGGAAAAAAATGTGCCGGAGCTGGCTTGGCACGGCTCGGTTTGTGCAGTGGAAAAAAAAAACGAACCCTATCAGGGCTGGCTTGGCACGGCTCGGTTTGTGCAGTGGAAAAAAAAACGAACCATACCAGGGCTGGCTTGGCACGGCTCGGTTTGTGCAGTGGAAAAAAGAAAAAACATGCCAGGGCTGGCTTAGCACGGTTCGGTTTGTGCAGTGGAAAAAAGAAAAAACATGTCAGGGCTGGCTTGGCACGGTTCGGTTTGTGCAGTGGAAAAAAGAAAAAACATGCCAGGGCTGGCTTAGCACGGTTCGGTTTGTGCAGTGGAAAAAAAAAACGAACCATGTCAGGGCTGGCTTGGCACGGTTCACTTTGTGCAGTGGAAAAAAAAACGAACCCTATCAGGGCTGGCTTGGCACGGTTCGGTTTGTGCAGTGGAAAAAAACAACGAACCCTATCAGGGCTGGCTTGGCACGGTTCGGTTTGTGCAGTGGAAAAAAACAACGAACCATACCAGGGCTGGCTTGGCACGGTTCGGTTTGTGCAGTGGAAAAAAACAACGAACCATACCAGGGCTGGCTTGGCACGGCTCGGTTTGTGCAGTGGAAAAAAACAACGAACCATACCAGGGCTGGCTTGGCACGGTTCGGTTTGTGCAGTGGAAAAAAACAACAAACCATACCAGGGCTGGCTTGGCACGGCTCGGTTTGTGCAGTGGAAAAAAACAACGAACCATACCAGGGCTGGCTTGGCACGGCTCGGTTTGTGCAGTGGAAAAAAACAACGAACCATGCCAGGGCTGGCTTGGCACGGTTCGGTTTGTGCAGTGGAAAAGCGAGGAGCTGAATGGCCGCGTGCTGCGTGCGCTGGATGGCTACCTTGGTGAGGAGTGGGCGGCGAGCTGGAGTTGGACGGCGTGAGCACCATGTAGATGTCCTCCTCCTCTTCCTCCTCCTCCTCCTCACGCCCCGGGCTCTCCGTGTGGTCGCGAGGGGCTGAGGCTGCGGGATGATGGGGAAATCGCCGTCGGTGAGCGCGAGCGCGCACATGTGTGTGGGAGGGTGTGTGTGGGTGAGTGTGGGTGTGTGGGTGTTTGTGGGTGGGTGTGGGTGTGTGTGTGGGTGGGGGTGGGTGGGTGTGTGTGTGGTGTGGGTGTGTGGGTGTTTGTGGGTGGGTGTGGGTGTGTGTGTGGATGTGTGTGGGTGAGTGTGTGTGTGGTGTGGGTATGTGGGTGTTTGTGGGTGTGTGTGGGTGTGTGTGTGTGGGTGTGTGTGGGTGTGTGTGGGTGTGTAGGTGTGTGTATGGTGTGTGTGTGTGGGTGTGTGTATGGCGTGTGTGTGTGTGGGTGTGTGTGGGTGTGTGTGGGTGTGTGGTATGTGTGTGGTGTGTGTGTGTGTGGGTGTGTGTGGGTGTGTGGTATGTGTGTGGTGTGTGTGTGTGTGGGTGTGTGTGGGTGTGTGGTATGTGTGTGGGTGTGTGTGGGTGTGTGTGTGGGTGTGTGTGGGTGTGTGTGGTGTGTGTGTGTGGGTGTGTGTGGGTGTGTGTGTGGTGTGTGTGGGTGTGTGTGGGTGTGTGTGTGGGGGTGTGTGTGTGTCTGTGTGTGTCTGGGGAGCGGTGGTGCAGTGGTTAGCGCTACGCTGCGCTACGAACCCGGCGACCCGAGTTCGATTCCCGCTCACGACCAAAAACAGTGGCGACGATTATCTGAACCAGTCCTGGGCCTCCTCTAGGTCGACTCAGCCTCAAATGAGTACCTGGTGCGGTGTGTAGCAAACATCGCTAGCACTGGGGAGACAAAGGCGGCCGAGCGTGGTGCTGGCCACCCACCCCCTCGTGTGCCACAGTGCCGGTAGCCTCCATAGGCGCTCGCTACTGACAGCACTTGCCCCTACGGCCTGCGTGAGGCTACACGGGGGACCTTTGTCTGTGCGTTTGTACCTGGAGGTGGAGAGACATCTGTGGACATGGCCATGTAGTCGTCCAAGTTCTCGTCTGCCGACAGACACGGGGCAGGCAGCACTTACATTTCACACGACATCACCCCAACAAAACCCTCTGATGTGCGTAGCAAACTACAACACGAATGATCACAGCCGCAGTGATAATAAACTACAACGCTATTGATGATAGCCGCAGTGTTAATAAACTACAACGCTAATGATGATAGCTGCAGTGATAATAAACTACAACGCTAATGATGACAGCTGCAGTGTTAATAAACTACAACGCTATTGATGATAGCTGCAGTGATAATAAACTACAACGCTAATGATGACAGCTGCAGTGATAATAAACTACAACGCTAATGATGATAGCTGCAGTGATAATAAACTACAACGCTAATGATGACAGCTGCAGTGATAATAAACTACAACGCTAATGATGATAGCCGCAGTGTTAATAAACTACAACGCTAATGATGACAGCTGCAGTGATAATAAACTACAACACTATTGATGATAGCCGCAGTGTTAATAAACTACAACGCTAATGATGATAGCTGCAGTGATAATAAACTACAACGCTAATGATGATAGCCGCAGTGTTAATAAACTACAACGCTAATGATGACAGCTGCAGTGATAATAAACTACAACGCTAATGATGATAGCCGCAGTGTTAATAAACTACAACGCTATTGATGACAGCTGCAGTGATAATAAACTACAACGCTAATGATGACAGCTGCAGTGATAATAAACTACAACGCTAATGATGATAGCCGCAGTGTTAATACACTACAACGCTATTGATGACAGCTGCAGTGATAATAAACTACAACGCTAATGATGATAGCCGCAGTGTTAATAAACTACAACGCTATTGATGACAGCTGCAGTGATAATAAACTACAACGCTAATGATGACAGCTGCAGTGATAATAAACTACAACGCTATTGATGATAGCTGCAGTGATAATAAACTACAACACTAATGATGATAGCTGCAGTGATAATAAACTACAACGCTAATGATGGCAGATGCAGTGATAATAAACTACAACACTAATGATGATAGCTGCAGTGATAATAAACTACAACGCTAATGATGACAACTGCAGTGATAATAAACTACAACGCTATTGATGACAGCTGCAGTGATAATAAACTACAACGCTAATGATGATAGCTGCAGTGATAATAAACTACAACATTATTGATGATAGCTGCAGTGATAATAAACTACAACACTAATGATGACAGCTGCAGTGATAATAAACTACAACGCTAATGATGACAGCTGCAGTGATAATAAACTACAACGCTAATGATGATAGCTGCAGTGATAATAAACTACAACATTATTGATGATAGCTGCAGTGATAATAAACTACAACACTAATGATGACAGATGCAGTGATAATAAACTACAACGCTAATGATGACAGCTGCAGTGATAATAAACTACAACGCTATTGATGACAGCTGCAGTGATAATAAACTACAACACTATTGATGACAGCTGCAGTGATAATAAACTACAACGCTAATGATGACAGCTGCAGTGATAATAAACTACAACGCTATTGATGACAGCTGCAGTGTTAATACACTACAACACTAATGATGACAGCTGCAGTGATAATAAACTACAACGCTATTGATGACAACTCCAGTGATAATAAACTACAACGCTATTGATGACAGCTGCAGTGATAATAAACTACAACGCTAATGATGACAGCTGCAGTGATAATAAACTACAACACTAATGATGACAGCTGCAGTGATAATAAACTACAACACTAATGATGACAGCTGCAGTGATAATAAACTACAACGCTAATGATGATAGCTGCAGTGATAATAAACTACAACGCTAATGATGACAGCTGCAGTGATAATAAACTACAACGCTATTGATGACAGCTGCAGTGATAATAAACTACAACACTATTGATGATAGCTGCAGTGATAATAAACTACAACACTAATGATGACAACTGCAGTGATAATAAACTACAACACTAATGATGACAGCTGCAGTGATAATAAACTACAACGCTAATGATGATAGCTGCAGTGTTAATACACTACAACACTATTGATGACAACTGCAGTGATAATAAACTACAACACTATTGATGACAGCTGCAGTGATAATAAACTACAACACTAATGATGACAGCTGCAGTGATAATAAACTACAACACTATTGATGATAGCTGTAGTGATAATAAACTACAACGCTATTGATGACAGCTGCAGTGATAATAAACTACAACGCTAATGATGATAGCTGCAGTGATAATAAACTACAACGCTAATGATGACAGCTGCAGTGATAATAAACTACAACACTAATGATGACAGCTGCAGTGATAATAAACTACAACGCTAATGATGATAGCTGCAGTGATAATAAACTACAACGCTATTGATGACAGCTGCAGTGATAATAAACTACAACGCTAATGATGACAGCTGCAGTGATAATAAACTACAACGCTATTGATGACAGCTGCAGTGATAATAAACTACAACGCTAATGATGATAGCTGCAGTGATAATAAACTACAACGCTAATGATGACAGCTGCAGTGATAATAAACTACAACGCTATTGATGACAGCTGCAGTGATAATAAACTACAACACTATTGATGATAGCTGCAGTGATAATAAACTACAACACTAATGATGATAGCTGCAGTGATAATAAACTACAACGCTAATGATGACAGCTGCAGTGTTAATAAACTACAACGCTATTGATGACAGCTGCAGTGATAATAAACTACAACGCTAATGATGACAGCTGCAGTGTTAATAAACTACAACACTATTGATGACAGCTGCAGTGATAATAAACTACAACGCTATTGATGACAGCTGCAGTGATAATAAACTACAACACTATTGATGATAGCTGCAGTGATAATAAACTACAACACTAATGATGATAGCTGCAGTGATAATAAACTACAACGCTAATGATGACAGCTGCAGTGATAATAAACTACAACACTATTGATGACAGCTGCAGTGATAATAAACTACAACACTATTGATGATAGCTGCAGTGATAATAAACTACAACACTAATGATGACAACTGCAGTGATAATAAACTACAACGCTAATGATGACAGCTGCAGTGATAATAAACTACAACACTATTGATGACAGCTGCAGTGATAATAAACTACAACACTATTGATGATAGCTGCAGTGATAATAAACTACAACACTATTGATGACAACTGCAGTGATAATAAACTACAACGCTAATGATGACAGCTGCAGTGATAATAAACTACAACACTATTGATGACAACTGCAGTGATAATAAACTACAACGCTAATGATGACAGCTGCAGTGATAATAAACTACAACACTAATGATGACAGCTGCAGTGATAATAACTACAACACTATGATGACAGCTGCAGTGATAATAAACTAACGCTAATGATGACAGCTGCAGTGATAATAAACTACAACACTATTGATGACAGCTGCAGTGATAATAAACTACAACGCTAATGATGACAGCTGCAGTGTTAATAAACTACAACGCTAATGATGACAGCTGCAGTGTTAATAAACTACAACGCTATTGATGACAGCTGCAGTGATAATAAACTACAACGCTAATGATGACAGCTGCAGTGTTAATAAACTACAACGCTATTGATGACAGCTGCAGTGATAATAAACTATAACGCTAATGATGACAGCTGCAGTGATAATAAACTACAACGCTATTGATGACAGCTGCAGTGATAATAAACTACAACGCTAATGATGATAGCTGCAGTGATAATAAACTACAACGCTATTGATGACAGCTGCAGTGATAATAAACTACAACACTAATGAGGATAGCTGCAGTGATAATAAACTACAACGCTAATGATGATAGCTGCAGTGATAATAAACTACAACGCTAATGATGACAGCTGCAGTGATAATAAACTACAACACTAATGATGATAGCTGTAGTGATAATAAACTACAACACTAATGATGATAGCTGTAGTGATAATAAACTACAACGCTAATGATGATAGCTGCAGTGATAATAAACTACAACGCTATTGATGACAGCTGCAGTGATAATAAACTACAACACTAATGATGACAGCTGCAGTGATAATAAACTACAACACTATTGATGACAGCTGCAGTGATAATAAACTACAACGCTAATGATGACAGCTGCAGTGATAATAAACTACAACACTATTGATGATAGCTGCAGTGATAATAAACTACAACGCTAATGATGACAGCTGCAGTGATAATAAACTACAACGCTATTGATGACAGCTGCAGTGATAATAAACTACAACACTAATGATGATAGCTGCAGTGATAATAAACTACAACGCTAATGATGACAGCTGCAGTGATAATAAACTACAACGCTATTGATGACAGCTGCAGTGATAATAAACTACAACACTATTGATGACAGCTGCAGTGATAATAAACTACAACGCTAATGATGACAGCTGCAGTGATAATAAACTACAACACTATTGATGATAGCTGCAGTGATAATAAACTACAACGCTAATGATGACAGCTGCAGTGATAATAAACTACAACGCTATTGATGACAGCTGCAGTGATAATAAACTACAACGCTAATGATGACAGCTGCAGTGATAATAAACTACAACGCTATTGATGATAGCTGCAGTGATAATAAACTACAACACTAATGATGATAGCTGCAGTGATAATAAACTACAACACTATTGATGATAGCTGCAGTGATAATAAACTACAACGCTAATGATGACAGCTGCAGTGATAATAAACTACAACGCTATTGATGACAGCTGCAGTGATAATAAACTACAACGCTAATGATGACAGCTGCAGTGATAATAAACTACAACACTAATGATGATAGCTGCAGTTGTAGTGACATAAGAAGGGAGGGGCTGCTGTAGGCTCTGGGTTCCCAGGTGGGTCCAGACGCTTGTAAGCCTCTGGGCGCCAGGCGTTGGGTTCCCAGGCGCTTAAGCCTTTTTGGCGCCGCC